CCTGTAATTATAGCTTTAAAGGCACTAGAGAGAGTGAAGTGTGTGCTTGCTTTCCTTTCTGATTAACATTTTCACTTCTGAATAATGGCAAGTAAAGCAAGAATGGAGGCTAGAAGAGGCTCCTCAGAGCAGCCCTTAGAGAAGGAAGAGAAAGAGAAAGAAGATAAAGTAATGCCTTTAATTTAGTTCAATCAATGTTTGATGAATTAGGGTCTAAACTGGCTCAGTCACTTGAACTAAATTTATGACCCTTGAAAAAAAGATGGAAGATAGGTTGGATAAGATGGATAATTCTATAAAACAAATGTCTGGAGATATAAAACAAATCTCTGGAGAAATAAAACAAGTGAATGACAGAATGGAACTTCTGGAGAGTAAAGCAGAAGTTAGGGATATAGAATTTGAAAAAAGCATGGATAATGTGGTCCTGTTGGAATTTAGAGAGAAGGAATTTTGTTTGAGATTTAGAGCCATTCCAGAGACTCTAGATGAAGATATTAGAAGAAAAGTTGTTCAGGCATTGACAATTTTTTTAGACTAGGAACAGGAAGATACTGAAGATGAGATTGACAAGGTGTATCAAATAAATTCATGTTTTACTACAATAAGAAATGTTCCAAGGGATGTTGTAGTGCATTTTGTCAAGAAAAAGATAATGGATCAAGTTTTCCAACAGCATTTTAATATGAGATTGAAGTTTGATAATGTAGATATAATTATTTTAAAAGAAATTCTTATTAGAATTCTGCATAAGAGAAAGGAATACTCTTTTTTGGCTGAGATATTAAAGCAGAAAAAGATTTCATTTTGTTGGGATAAATTAGAGGGAGTGATTTTTACTTTTGAACAGAAAAGTTTCTGACTGGATTCTGTTCAAAAGGCCGAGAATTCTTGGAAAAATTTAAAGGAGATTTGGAATATGTCCAACTGGAGGTTGTGGAGAAGACTGTCCTAAAACCACAACAGAGGCAAAAGGACTTTGAAAAAGATGACTCTGAATTAGGTATTACAGGTATAGACTTTTCTAAACTATTGGCTTAATTATGAATTGTAAATGTCTAATGTGGAATATAAATGGAGCAAATGCACCTCAAAAAGGAAAGAAATTATTTCATTGCTTAAAAAAAATTAAAAGAAGACATAATTTGCTCACAAGAGACTCATATTAGAAAGGAGGACATAAAGTATTTGGCTTGTAAAAATTTGGGAGAAGAATTTATTTCAGCAGGATTTTAAAAAAAGAAGTTGTTTTATATGTTAATCTTGGAAGTATTATGAAGAAAGTTTGTTTTTAGCAAATTTTAATTAATTAGTTTTTAATTGTTTTAATTACCATATTTTTCCATCAATAAGACGCCCCCATGTACAAGACGACCCCCACTTTTCCAACCCAAAATTAAGAAATCAATATTTTAAAGAGAGTACAGAACACATTTTTATTTAGTAATTAGTTAACATTTACCTGATACGCTTGGTGGGAGGAGGTCCAAACCGTCTCTCTGCAGCTCTGTTTCCATGCTCTTTTGCATAACTGATTACATTCAAGCACGAGTGAGACTGCCAATAGCTTGTCTCTGCAAATAGACTTCCTCTAATTGGTTTGTTCAGCATCAGGTGACGTC